GCTTCTGTTACTTCTTCTGTCTCATTTGTTTCCTGTATTTTTTTGCCTTTTTCCTTATCACTTGTTCTGAAATTATATGGCCTTTCAACTACTATCGCAAATCAACTGGCGAGAATATTTTTCCCACTATTGAAGTTTTATATTAGAAAAACAATTCTTGTCAATATTATGAGTGGAAAGATTTTTTTTTAAATAATAGTATGAGCAACCCAAAACCCGATGACAAAAAATCTTATAGTCAAGCATCCATGAAAAACTGAAAAACTTTGTGTGCTGAAGGTTTCTATTTTCAGATGAAAAATCACGTTTTTGAGGAGAGCAATTTTATCTATAATTTCCTTTTCTGTCATAAACCAAATTTTCCACTGAAAAAACTTCCAGTGAGGAATTTGCCACCAGCCTTAGCCAGAAACCTTCACATCATTAACTGTTCCTAGTAGGTATCTGCTCTGTGAAAATGGTGCTATCCAACGTGCCTTCAGATCATGGAAGTCATTCGTTATGGCATCACTAAGTTGTTTCCATCTCCAGGGTGCAGCATCTCCATTGCTGAAAGAAAGAAATGCTCTGGTGAAGAGACAAAAGAAGCCAGAGCATAAAACAATACAGCAATTCTTCAGGAGCTGGGTGTTTTCTTGCCTTCTAACAGGGTGTTCTGGATCAGGCACTATTCTCTCAATGTGATGAGATGCTAATGAATCCCGCTTTCCAAGAGGAGCTTCAGCACCATCTTCATTGACCACATTTCTGAGCTTGCTGGTTAGCAGAACAATGTTGCTAACGGCACCACTTTTAGCTGTGGTGCCATCACAAACAATGCAAATCTCAGTCTCATAGCGTTTATTTATAGCAGTGGCCACAGTATGCTGGGCCTTTCTCACACGTTCAACGTTGGGTGAGTCAACCGAAGTTATGTGAAGAGGCCCGGCAGCAGGCAATGTCTGCACAAACTGAATCTATTCATGGGCAAATAGATTTTGAGAGTCATAAATAGGAAAGGGTGGGAGTATCTGGCTGAAGTTGTGCCAAACTTAGGGAGTGCCATGTGGGAAGAAGCATGCGTTGATTACATGAAAGTTGATGTGTGGGTAGATGACATCTAATCAATCCATGGAGTGATAAGTGGGGTTCTCAGAAGTCAGTGCAGGGTTTTGCAGGAACCATAAAATCTCAAGCTTCCCTCTGAGTGAGAAAGACCACAGGACCCTGGTACACAAACTGCTTTCTGAATTACTTTTTCTGATGAGATGAAACCAGGAAAAGTGTTTGTGGCAATGTTTGCTCTTAAAAAAAAACACCTTTGGCACTTTGTATGAGAGCAGAGACACTGTCATCCCACCACGCTACCAAATTTCTGATGCGCAGAGCAGCGCTTGCTCAGGTGGGAGGTGCTGCTGTGGGGCTTGAACTCGAGCTGCTGGGTCTGGATAGCTGGGTCCCCCTCCCAAGCAGGTCACTGCTTTGATGTGTGACCTTCAGTGATCCAGGAACATTTTATTGCCTTTCCCCACTGTGAAATCAATACAATCCCTACCAATCTAGGCACAGTAATGAACTGCTTGAAAAAGCACTTTGGGACACTTGGCAGCAAGAATTCTCACTTAGATGGACAGAGCATTCATCATGCCCCATCTAAAGGCAACACATGGTATTTGGGGAAGTTGGTTAACAGATTTTCCCTACCATCTCTGAGATGGAGTGAGTATGACATCCCTTTCATGTTTGCTCATGTGCTCACACACCCTGATACACTCAGCTCTGCTACATTGGGGTTGGGCTAGATGACCTCTAAAGGTCCCTTCCAACCCAAAACATTCTATGATTCTATGTCTACTGGGTCACCCTCTCTTCCCCAGTACAGGTATTCAGTGTACTTTGAAATGGTTGAAGCTGAACTATTGCTCCGCCGCCCTGGCTCTCAGGAAATGGTTCTTCCATGCTGGGGGAGCTGTTGGGATGTTATGAGGAGAGCAGAGTGCTCTCACATCCCCTCCCCACAGGTGCTCTCTGGGAGAAGCTGGGATTCATAAGGCTAGGTGGGATAAGTGGCTGGTGTGACAGTCCCTCCCTTTTGTGTGTTGTAGATGGAGCTGCTGAAGGGATTGCCGTGGCGCCGTGCTTTTCTGGCTGTTGCCCTGAACCTGCTGGCTCTCAGCCTCTCCACCACCGCCTTGCTCGGCAGCTACTGGTGCACTGGGACCCAGAAAGTGCCCAAGCCTTTGTGTGGGAAGAACAAAGCCACCAAGTGCATCGGTGTCCCCATGCCGCCTGACGCAAGCGCTGGCAATGTTTCATCCCAGGATGTGGTGCACTACAGCTGGGAGACTGGGGATGACCGCTTTGCCTTCAGATACTTCCACACAGGGATGTGGCTTTCCTGTGAAGAGAGCATGGAAGGACCAGGTAGCGTCTTGCCCAGGCAGCCAGCACTTCTTCCCTTGTATTTACTCCACAGGAGTTTGGAATTGAAAGGCGGGAGGCTGAGAACGCTTGGGAGAAAAGCCTTCTTCATTTTCCCAGGTGGCATCAGTCCCCTGTGGTCATTGTATTTCTGTGCTTCCTTGGGATGTTTACAGAGGGGGGAAAGGGAGAATGGTAGAATGGTTGTCTCTGGTGCGCCCTTCTGTCTGGAATGGGGGCTGTGAAGTGCAAGAGGTGGTGGTGATGCAGTGAGTTCGTGATGGCATCGTTCATCCTGATGTGAACTGGAGTGACCCCCCTTCCCTTTCCCTGTGTCTCCATCCCTGCACACAGCTTACTTCATGCTTTCCAGGGCACATATGTGCATGTCCCCTCAGACATCTAAGTGGGGTGATTTTATGCAGTGTTGTCAATTTATAGTTATCACTGTGAGGACTGCAATAGTCGGTGTTCTCCTTAAATCACCAAACTGAGAGGTTTTGTGGATTGAACAGGGTCTGGGCTTTTCTTTTTAAAAGTAGTAAAGAGAGAGAGAGAAGTACTGTCTTACAGATACAGAGAAAACCTGGAGGATCCAAACCCAGAGGAACTAAGGCTGGGAGGCAAATTGACCTGAAGATTAGAGCTGCAGTATTGTCATTTTTTTAGTTGCTTTTTGTGATATTGTGACAGGTTTCATTTGTGATTTTTGACCACGTGGGACTGGCACTGTCAAACCCTGGTGTGCCAGGGTCTGGTCGCGCAACCTGTATGAGACCCCTTTGGTGCCTCCCTTCACCCTTGGCTTGCTCCTGCCCAGCCCTGCTGAAGTCCTTCTGCTGAAACCTGTGCCAGGCCAGCACAGGCGGATGCTCTGCGGTGCACAGATGCTCCTCACAGCCTGGCACGCACATCAAGGATCAGAACTGACCCGGAAGGTGGCCAGCAGGGAAACTGGTATCTGAAGATACAGCGATGAAAGTGGCTTTCATCAGGCCCATTCCCCTGAGCCCACTGCCCTCCCTTCAGCTCTCCCCAAGCACAAACTTCTCATCTCCTTTAACCAAGCCACTGTTCTAGTGTAGCATTTCTCATTTTCTTATCTGTTGCTGTCAAAGTTTGAAAATAAAGAAGTGGTGAATAAAAGCAGACAGAAGGCGGGGGAGGGGGGAGCAGGACGGAATCTGCTTGAAACTCTCATGTCCTAATGAGAGGGCTGCTTCGTTACGAGCATTTCCAGACATGTTGCGGAAGCAGATGTGTTTATTTGGGACTGGGTTGGCTTGGGGTGTGTTTCCATGGTTCTGGTAGGAATGGGACTACATCCCTTGACAGCTTTCTCTTTGTCTGGCCACCGGGCAGTCCTGGAATAACCCGGATGCCTGAAAGAACACAGTGAGCGTGTTACATCTGGATCGCAGCAGGGCCGCGGGGTAGAGCACAGCCGGTCTCAGTCCCCTGCTCCCTGTAAATCCAGTGCAACCCACCCACTGCCGCAGGCCTTCGAAGCAAGTGTGTAGGCAGCAACAACAACAACAAAAAGGGGCTACTGCGAGCGAAAGGAGTTTGAGTTGAGCTGGGGAAAGGATTTCATTATTCAGGCTAATCTCCGGATCAGTTTAGATGAGCCATTACTGAATAACCTCATTAAAGTTCTAGGTGAAGTAGCAAACCGCAAGTTAATGAGGACTGCAGATGGCACTAAACTGGGTAGCGTCCTGAGAGCTGTGGATGACAGAAGTAATACAGGAGATTGGGAGAGATTAGAACTGGGGATAGAAATTAAGAAAATGAGATTCTTACATGAAAAGCAGCAGGCTGATACTTCTGGGAGAAAATACTGTGCCAAGCAGAGGAGACGACCCTCAAATGCAGTCATGCAGTATGAGAGACTTACAGATAATAATGATGGACCCTCAGCTGAGACAATAGATTGCATCTGGCCAACGTAAAAAGCCAAAGCAAACACGAAACACCATTTGCCCGAATAGCGTGCCTAAGATGCGAGGACAGAAGACCATATTTCTGTGTGATTCTCTGCCGCAGAAGAGGGACTCACATCTGTCACGCAACATTTCACTTGGGAAGATTTTTTGGTTTTGCTTTCTTCTTTGGGGAGTGGTGCTAGAACTGCTCTGTTGAGACCGGGGTGAGTGGGAATTCGCGTCCCCAGCAGAAGTGGTGGGTCTGCAGTCTGTCGTGAGCTACACCCTTAATAAGCCTGAAAAAAAGTAACCTTGTGAATGAGTAGCAACAGATTTTTATATTCACCAGAGGCTTGTAAGATTTACAGATTGTTGAATTTTTTTTTCTGGAAAGGCCACCTCTAGTTTTCCAGGCAGGCATTGCCTTCCCCTGCCTTGCCCCAGTGAAGGCCTGGAAGGACGGTCAGAAAGAAAGCAGAGGTGAGAAGATCTGACGGGTAGGCTCAGGGGTGACTGGAGCTATGCCGTGAAGAGAGAGTGAGAGATTTTCTTATGTACTCTGCATTGTTTTGCAAACTAATACCTTTGGGTTTGTGTTTCAGAAGAGAAATGCCGTAGCTTTATTGAGCTGTCACCACCAGCAGAGAGAGGTAAGAGCAAATCCCCATACCTCACTGTAGCTGCCCAGTGCACCTCCTTGAGATGGGGGACCTGCAACAGTTCACCTGTGGGAGGACAGCAGGGTGGGTCCCCCAAAAGCCAGGCATGAAATCCTGGCCTCATGGTTGCCCAAAGAGCGAAGCTTTCCTCCCAAATTTTGCCTAAACCACTCCCATCTGTGACATCCGTGCTGGAAACCTCAGACCCCCTCCCGTCCGAAGTGGGATTTGTCTCACCATGCCACCTGAGGGCAATCCCTCCCACATATGCTACATGTTGACCCAGTGCTTCAGTTTTGGGGTTTGCTGTGATGACTCTGGAAGCTGAATCACCTCTTACTTTGTGGTAAGTGATCAGGACATCTGAAACTTACTTTTTCAGGGTGAAGTCCTTGCCTCACCAACCACAAAACTTCATTTGGGTTGGAGAGCGAACGCCTCTTGCTATTGTCACATATTTCAAATTTTCCTGGGGATAACTTCAGTATACCTGGATACATATGTGCAGACGCAATGGGGATTTTACTTACTGAAAGCTTTTCAGTTGGTGTGGGCTTGCTGACTATACCCTGACATGGAGGCTGGAGGCACGTCATTTCAGAAGATGTTCATATGTGAAGGGAAAGGCCTGGGGTGCAGAGCTTGTGTCCATGTTCAAGCCATGAGAGCAAGGACTGGAACAGACACTGGGGAATTGCAACAGCCAGCAGGGAGATGAGTACTTTGGGGGAAGTAATTTTCTTTTTCTGCCCCATTTCCCCTACTTTAAAAACACTGGCAAAGCCTGCTGACTTGCTTTTATAAAGCGATGTGCATTGCCAGGTGAGAGGCCTGGTGCGAGCGGGGCGTGGTGGCATTGCTCTGCAGGTTAACCTGGGTCCCTCTCGGCACAACAGCAGGGTAGAAAAACCTCCCCTGTTTATTCTTTTGGGCAGCGGCACTCACACAATTCAAATTACAACATCATTTTAAAGTCATGCAGATCTCCGCTTTGTCATAAAATGAATGACTGACTTAACTGGGGTTACTGAATGGCTCCCACACTTACTGCAGAATGCTGGCTTCATGGGGAGTAGCAAGGCATTTCTCTGCTCTCTCACCTTCTTGTGCTTCATTCCCTGCCCAGGCTTCTGGCTCTGTTGCTTCCAGTGTCTTCCTTATAGACTGTTCTCCTAAGAAAGGAGGTTTATGCAACCAGATTACGTGTCTTTGTAAATCTTTCTGTCTGTCCCCCCTCACACCCCTCCTTACTGCTCCTTGTCTAATGGCAGCCCAACACTGATAGAAAGGCCATGTTCGGTAAGACACTGAGCTCCCACAAATTAATTGGAAGATCACTGTGAGCTTAAGCATGACACTTGGAGTGGCGCTGTGGTCTTAACGGCTCTGTCACCCACTTTCGCCCCTTCCTGCACATAGCATCATCTTAAGATGACCTTGGCCTCCAGCGCAGCTGCTGTTACACAGTTGGGGCAGCACTGGAGAAGGTGGTGTGACTGCTGATTGCCGGCTGGGTTGGCTGAGCTGGGTGTCTGCAGAGCAGCTCCACATTACATAGGCAGCATTAGAAGATGCCTGCAGCCTCCAGGAAACTCCTGGCAGCCTGACCTCTAAAGAAATAATCTCCCTGACGGTGCTACGGCAAGCAAGCCAGCTTCTTTAAGCATGGAATGCAGCTCATCAATTCCTGCTAAAGAGCTGGGTGACTCTACGGCACTAATGATGTTGAGGAGTCAAGTCAGTGCCACATTAATGAGGGTTTTCTTCACACTCCTTTTCCCCAGTTGAATGTCTCCTCTACGGCCATTAATAGTTGCTAACAGTAGTGTTCACAGTGCTGCTTCATTTGTCAGATTAACATTTCTTCCTCGGTGAATCCTGTGCTCTCCACAGCCCAGCATTACAGAGTGCCTTCTCTCATTCTCCTCCAAGTCCTACTGCACAGTAAGCTCAGCTGAGGACTGTGGTATCACGGTCCCGCTGATAATCCCAGTATGAAAGTACTTGCACTCTGTTCAAGCAGTAGGGTGGGTGGTGAATGTTATTGCCCTAGCTGGATAGCCACCCCGAGGAATGTGGTTTCATTTTAATTGAGGTTTCAGTGAGAAATACAGGCCTGCAAAAGGGACCTCCTGAATTTCAGAAGCCAGGTCCCAGCCATCGCTGCAGATGCACTATGCAGTTCTTTTCTAAACCGATTGAGCTCCAGTTTAAGAGTCGCTTGCTTCTACTGTTGTGTTTAGAAACCTCCTGTGAAGGTTGCTACACTAATGGGAAAGAACATTCTAACACCCAGCTCAGATGTGTCCATGGCCAACCTATGAACAGTAGGTCTTGTGCTCAACAGCTTTCCCCCTGCCTTTTTCCCCATGGCTTCTTCCTTGCTGTTTATGACTAATGTTGGCTTGTTTACAAACAGCTGGTTTAGTTCCTCTCAGCTTTTGCAGTGCCAGACCAGCCAAGCTATCTTCTGTGATGGACTCTCTGTCCCCTTCAGCATCCTTTGAGCCCTTGCTCACAGGCTGGGGGGTTGCTGTTGGGTGTTCCCAAGGACATCCTTTCAGGACTGGGTTGGGAAGGGGGAGTACTCTCTCTCCCTTGAACAAGCCATCCTGTACTGATGTGAGGAGTCTCTGGTTCCTGGCAGGAATCCTGTGGCTGTCGCTGGGATCAGAGATGCTGTACATCAGCTTGCTGCTCATCAGCTTCATCCTCCTGATGGTGGAAATGCTCCATACTGGCAATCCTGTCTGTGGGTTGAAGCTCAATGCCTTCGCGGCCGTCTCCTCGGTGCTCTCAGGTAAGTGTGTTACTGCAGGCTTGGAATCACCGCAGCAGGAGAGCTTCCTCTTCCACACAAGGCTGAAGTACGCAGCTCTGGCTCCCACTGTAAATTCCTTGCTTTCTTGTCCTCTTGTGACAGGTCTCCTTGGGATGGTGGCACACATGATGTACACACAAGTCTTCCAGGCAACGGTTAGTCTGGGACCAGAGGACTGGAGACCGCACTCATGGGACTACGGCTGGGCATTCTAGTATGTGAGCTCTGAAACCATCTTCACCTCCCCAGCCTTTTGGGTTTCAGCCGTGCTACACCCTGCCCAAACCCACCTCCTCCCTTCTTGGCCTTCTGTGTTACCACAGACAGATGTACCATGGTTCTCCTCCTGTTAATCTCCTGTCTTTGCCTCATCCCCTGCTTTAACAAATAGTTGCCGAGTCACTTAAATGAGTAGCTACCAAGGACAGGCAAAACAACAGTGTCACACCTAAACAAGTGCCTTCAACCCCGCTGACTAACCAGGTTTGCCCCTACGCTGGTTTGCACCATTTGGCCTCAGATTTTCCCTGCAGGCAGAGGCCAGTGTCACACCCGTGATGATGCTCTCAAACATGCCTTGACTTTTTTGCAGTTTAAACAAGTTCCATGCTGGTTTGGCATCTTCGCTTACCAATGTCCAAAGGGCCTATTCCTGCAGCACCAAGCCTAGACACATGCTGTAGCCAGAAAGAGCAACTGCAAAAAGCAGGTGGCTTGGGGTTCCTTTCTCTAAAGGCTAAAGAAGCCAGCCGCAGCTGATACACCATAACCAACTTGGAAAACAGTTGGACGGGCCTTGCAAGTGTCTGTGGAAAGCACAGGCTCAATTTGCAAAGCTGTACTGATGATGACCACGTTAATTCTTAAGGCGTAAGCACTCCAGTGCCACGTGCCTGCTGCAGACATCAAATGTCAGCATGGCCATCTGGTTATGCTCAAGTGGACATGCCTCACGTCCAGGAAGACACTGAGCAGCACTGCGATACAGAACTTGCTTCCAAGCTGTGCTGTCCTGCTCTGACCAGTTGTAGACTTTTCTGCTGCCCTTTTTATTTTCCCCTCTATCCCTCCCTTCCCTGTGACAAGGACGACCAGTATTTACCCCACCAATCTAACAAGGGTCCTGTGGTGGGATAACCCCTAAGAACTGTAATATCATGAGCCCTAGTCTTTCTCGTTCATGTCCATGCCCAGCAGCTTCTGCCTGGCAAATCAGGGCGCATCATGGCGCATGCCGTTCATTTCCTTACCCTCTTGGCTTCTCACAGTGTGTGCTATTCTTGTGTCTCTCCTGTAGCATGGCCTGGGCCTCCTTCACCTGCTGCATGGCCTCCGCTGTCACCACTCTCAACACCTACACCAAGACAGTGCTGGAGTTCAAAAGGAACCACATCAAGGGCTACAACGGGAGCCTCAAGGATCCGCCTCAGCACCACCAGTGCTTCATACAGCAGCAAATAAGCAGCTACTACGAGCCCCAAGACAAGCCCCTCCGTTCAGTCTCTGAGGGAGTCGACTTCTACTCTGAGCTGCAGCAGAAAGTGCTACAGCGGGAACCAGAGCTGGGACTGGATGAGGTCTTGGGACAGACGATCGGGGAGGATCACTGTTAGGGATGAGTGAGCAGGGACAGAGCAGTGGGGTTTGGGAGGCACAAGAGCTCTGAACCAAACAGTAGCACCACTGTCAGCAAGTTCTTGGGGAGCTCTTCCTTCCTCTACCATTTGGGGAGTGAGAAGAGAAGGTGGGCACTTGTCCAGGGCAACAGCAGTGCCGACAGTAGCTCCCTGATCACGGTTGGATGGGTGTCCTCAGCTGGGAAGGGTGAAACTGGAAGTACAGGCTGTTGGTGCCAGCTGTGCCCAAGCACTTGCAGAAAGAGTTGAGGCGGATGTCCTAATCCCAGAAGTACTGCACCGGGAATAGAAAGCGAGTGCCATGCGGCTGGCAAATTGCAGTGCTGGGCCTTTTTGGGTGGTGTCACATGGACATTCCAGCAACCTCCCTGGTTCAGTGCTACGGTGAAGGGCATCAGTGCTCATATTGATTGGCTGTAATCCTCTCTGAATGCCCTACTTATTCCTCATTTCCAGGCCCAACCTCCTCTTCTCCCTGCCCCCAGATTAAAAGTGCTGCTGCAGTAGGAATGGGGCATTGCTTTCAGACAGCTCTCTCTTCCTCTTTGCCATTTGTAATGACTCCCACATGCTCCCCTTTTGCTTTTTCCCCCCATATCTCCCATTATGAGGTACTTTCCTCATGACCACGAGGTCTCTTTCTACCCTGCTTCTCCACGATGTTTAAGAATCTTTGGCGGGGCTTTTGCCTGTTTCTTTGTTTCTCTTCATCTGTCCCCATTGTAAAAATATTACAAATGATCCCCAAATCAAGCAAACTCATAATTTCTCAAAGGTGAAACACTGGTTCACATAACACGCTGATGCTGTACACAGTATTTATTTGCTCCATTGCAGTTCACAGTTCAAATACATTTTCCCAACAATATACAGACAGACTCTTTATTCACAGTGGGGATGTGTGTGTGCGCGGGCAGGGTGAATTCACATTATGGAGGAGCTAATGTCACTGCACTTGAGTATCAGTTCTCTCAGGAAGAACCTCAGGAGAATATCTACTTCAGGTAACAGCCGCTTCACCTTTCCCAGCAAGGTGGTGGCTAGACAGGAGGGAAGGGGCACTCCTGTTTAATCCTCATATGTTACTGGTCCTCGCACTTTCAGTCCCTATTATGCAGCTGTATTTCCTCCCTATTTTGAGGGAAATGCCAGGCCTAGAGCCGTTGCTACAGTTGTGCTAATATATACAAAGCTATTTACACAAAAATACCAGTAAACATATACAAACTGTTCACAGGCTCTGACATGAAAAGAGCAGGGCCCAAGGACCAGCCTTGGGGCTTGCAGCTAATCCTGAAGGGCTATCCTGGAAGCTTCATATGGAGATGCAGGGAAGGAGAAGAGAAAGGGTGATATAGCAACGAGAGGTGTAAAGAGGCCAGGAGAGCAAACCCATGGTAGATGTGCCCATCTGGAGGGAGGGTCAAAGTCCTGCCATCACCTCACCACTCACAGGGAAGAGTGGGGAGGCTGGAATGACATGTGCCAGCAGGACAGAAATCCATTGCAATCCTCATCTTAGCCTGGCTCTGCCTAATGTCAAAGGTCAGACCTAGGAAGGCATACTGGGAAACAGTTCCTATGTTGTTGCTCTGCACTTTGGGGAACTGCTGGGGCACCAAAGGTTGGTTTATACATGGTCATTTCTATTACACGAAAATTCACATAGATGCTCTGCAACTACAACACAGGAGGCTGATGGCACACTCAAAGGCATAGTTCAAAGCACTAAACATACTGAGAGCAAATGTGCCCTGGGGGTAGTCTGCTCCTCCTGGAACTGCACACGGGGCTGGGCTGGCAAGGGCATGGCAAAGTTGAGCTCAGAACAGGGGTAAAATGCACAGATAAGCTTTCCAGTTCTGCCTCTGTCTGAGCCTCTAAACCCTGAAGCAGTGGTGTGAGAATCAGCTTTGCTGTGACTGGATCTAGTGTGATCTTTACAGTGCCAGTGGGGATCTGCTGGGAATCTATGCCAAAAGGGCTGGTGGTGCATTGCAAAGGGGGATGTTACAGTGACACTTTGGGTTCCTAAAAAGCTTAGGGATGGATGGAGACAAAAACAAGAGGTGAACCTTTCGCTTCTACATCACCCATAGGAACCTGTCCTGAACTTGGGATTGGGAAAAGAAATAGGTAAGTGCAAGAACTGGCAAATGCTGTGGGGACCATCTTTCTTTCTCTGCATCACGTAATTCAGCCAGAGAGCTAGTTTGTTTGTGAGTTTGGTGACAGAATGGCAAAGAGGGCTGAGAGCACAGGAAAGGTTATGGAAAAGACTAGCCCTGCAGAAGCCAGACAGAGGCTTCTCTCCAAAAATATAAAGACAGTGCTGTCCTTTAGTCACACCATTCGCTTCACATCATCACGGCCCACTCTAGGCCTAGAGCTTGTTTGACTGCCTGGGAATACTGTTTGGACATAAAAAGGAGTGTCCTAAATCTCGTTCATAAATTAAACATACAAAAAATATACATATATTGTATAAATTGATACATATATATATATATAAAACTTGGGTTTATATATATATATGTATGTATATAAATTCTAAATTCACATTTCTATGTTACCTGGAAGGAAGCATGCAAAAACAGCATATGGCGGGGGAGACGCTGAACAATGTTCCTCTGGTACAGGACAGGTCTGCCTAGGACAAACCTGCCTCCAGCAGCATTCCCCAGAGAGCTGAAGAAAGGGGAAATGATTTTTGCTCCCATTCCCTCTACACGGCAGCTTTCCTGAAGATCCACAGAGCAGCTTCCTGTATTCACCAAGCAGGCCACAGGTCCAACCAAAATCTGAGGAACCACCAGCCTAGAGCTGGAGAAGGAAAGACAAATATAAACTTGTGCCAAAACCTATTATCATCCAGTCTGGTAAAGAAAAGTGGTAATTCACAGGTCAGCAACTGAACCTGGGGACCACTAACTATATGGAGGACCCTTGTTTGCCCATTTCAAAACAAGTGATCTCTGTCCCACCTCTTTGTCCCCTCTGTGAGTCTGTCAGTCCCTTATGATCATCACCCCTCGTTCTTCCTAAGATCCCCCTCCTTGTCCAACTGCCAAAGTACAGCTGGGCCTCACAGCCTGTTCAGCTTATGCCCAAAGGGGCAGCCAGTCATCTTGCAAACAGTCTCGTTGCATCCCACCAGTCTCTTTGCATCCTAAAGAGCACCTAACTGTGTCAGTAGGGAAGAGATCAGCTGTTTTCAAAGGCCTGGATTTCATTAGGGATTCCTGCACAATCTCACCTTCTGAGGAAAGTCAACAAATTTCAGCCGGGCAAGAAACCGCCTCACTTCTCCACGGCTGATTTTGGGAGTGGTGGTGTCCTTTAGCCACACCATTCGACCTTGACTCATCATGGCCCACTTCAGGCCCAGCTTGCTGACCGAGAGAAATCCTGGCTGTTTTTCAGAGGTTGCAGTTGTTGTCACAGTGATGTGAAATGCATCCTTCTGGAGATCGTTAATTCCAACTGGTCCATCAGAAAAGGGAAAGAAAATGTTGGTGAGGAGTAGACGATTACGTTTCTTCCAAAAGAAACCTTACAGTCTACTCAGTCAAAGCATCCACTGGACTGAGGGTATATTCAGTCTGACTTTACAATTGCATGTACCTTAGCTAATCAGGGAAAATGATTTTAAGTTAAAAATTTTCCATGGAAATAAACTGAAATTTAGATCAGAAATGGAAGGGTTTGGTTCCTGGTGATGTTTTTGAGCGTGACATAGGAGATACATATATTTCAATAATGCGTTCACTTTCAGAGAGCTTTTCTTCCCACTCCTGTTAGCAGATATTGTTTTGTCTCTATAGAAGGGGAAATCGGTAAAGCACAGGCAAGTCAGTTCACTCCAGTCACTGCAGAATGATCTGTACAGACCTCAGAAATCCCAGTTTCTAACAAGCCCCTCTAAAAATGATATTCTGTTTGTTCTTGACTGAGCTGTGTTTTTGATACAAATCCAATTAGATGCATCACTATGTAGCAGCTTTTCTGTGCTTCCTGGCCTACTGCACTCAGTGCTGGATGAATTGATCTTTTATCCCACATCTGGCCATGCTCAACAGGCTGGCTGTTGGCTGAACTGCTTTAGAAAGAGCAAGGAAATCCAACAGGGACTGTACAATCCTGTATAGATGTTGAATCCAGATCTACTTTTCCCTGAAAACACACTTTTAAATATTTTGGATTCTTCCTTTCAAAAAAAGAAAGAGGAAGCAGCAGCACAGCTGCTGTGCCAGAGAGCAGGAGAAGATGGCCAACAAAGGCAGAAGCGTATCTGAGGTGACAGAGAAGTTTCATAGTGATTCTTCATGCACTGCCTTAAATCATAAATAGCTCCATGGAAAGCCAGGGAACTTCTCTGGTGTAAAACATGCATGAAATCAAACTCAGACCTTTCCTTGCTTAAACATGTGCAAAAAACTTGGTCGGTCTTTTATTTGCAAAGTAGGGGTTGAACGGGACCTTCCTTCAGGGGGAAGATAAATCTTATTTCCCACTGTTGGCCTATGTGTGGTGGACCTCAGGTGCTACCTTTAAAGGTACAACTACACCCCACTGTTTCTCACAGCTACCTCTCCCTCCATATTTCTTTTAGCTTAAGTAGTTTCTCCTCTGTTCATACATTTGTACTCACTTGCTGAAGCAATGACTTTGTCTGTTGCATTGGTGAGGTCCAAAAGAACTGTAGGAAAAACAGGATGGAGGAGATAGAGGTGGTGCAGCCCTGGGCGCTCAGGTCTGGGACCAGGTTGCTGTTGGAACAAAGGACAGACAAAAATGTTACAGCTGGCTAACAAAGAGGAGTCGAACTTTGCCAAAGAAATAAAGAAGTTTTCTGACACAGTGCTGTCTTTATATGGATCAGAGAATCCAAAACTCTATGGTTTCACAGAGATGAAATCCCGCACAGTTTTTTTTCTAAACCAAAATTTGCTCCACAACTTCTGTTTTGTAAGGTT